TATATGTACATAGATGTATATCCCTATCATTATATATTAATATATTTAAATATGTCCAGGCCTATGTTTCTACCTCTATAAATGTCTTTTGCTTCTTAAATCTTTCCTCTATTTCATTTTACTTTCCTCCTGTCCCACTATCATGTTCGACCTTCATTCTGCTCTCTGTACTTCCTCTCGGCTACATTGCACTTGATCAAACCCCACCAGGCATCCTCTGCCCTCCTGGCCACCGATTTTAGATTTCTTGTTGTTCCTTTGTCCCTGGGTTTGTTAGCTACCCCTTCCTTTTCCCCAACTTCTCCCCTCCCCTGACCCCCTGGAACCATCCGTCCTTTTGTTTTCTCCTCAGGATTGTTTATCCTGCCTATCTTCTCTAGACAGACATACATGCAGTTTATATATGTACGTCATCCCACTCTTCTGCTAGTCATCCCAGGCAGATCCCCAACTATTCCCTTAGTATCCTCTATTTGTGATGTCCTTGTACAAGGGTCACTTCTAATGAGAATTTTTGGCATGTCATATGCCCGAAAATAACTCAGAAATCTCTTCCCATCAGGCAGTGGGATGGAACAAACACTGAACGAGGTACCAGAGCTTCTTGTCCTGACAATGTTGTTAGGTGCCATTAAGTCGGCTCTGACTCATAGGGACTCTGTGCACAACAGAACCAGATATCACCCAGTCCTGTGCCATCCTCACAATTGGGCTTTTGTTTGAGCCCATTGTTGTTGCCCCTGGGTTGATCCAGCTCATGAACGGTCTTCCCTTTTTTCACTTCCCCCTTTATTTTCCCGAGTATAAGGTCCTTTTCCAGGGATTCTTTCCTGAATGACATCATGTCCAAAGAACATGAGATAAATTCTTGCCATCCTCACTTCTAAAGAGCATTCTAGCTGTGCTCCTTCTAAGATAGATTTGTTTGTTCTTCTGGCAAATGAGACAGAGAGAGTACTTTCAGTATTCCTTGCCAACACCGTAATTCAAATGCATCAACTCTTCTGAAGTCTACTTTATTTGTTGTCCAGCGTCCAAGTGCATATGAAAGCCAAACTCCAAATTCAGTGCCGTTGCGTCAGTTCTGACTCATACTAACACTTGACTGGCATCAGGTGCACCTTAGTCCTCAGTGTGACATCTGTGCTCTTCAACACTCTGAAGAGGTCTTGTGCAGCAGATTTGCCCATCAGGGCTTTTGTGCCTAATCCTTTAGAAGTAGACTGCCTATTCCTTCTTCCTAATATGGTCTTTGTCTGGAAGCTCAGCTGACCCGTTCACCATGGGTGACCCTACTAGTATTTGAAATACCAGTGGCATAGCTTCCAGCAATATACAAGCCACCACAGCATGACAAACTGACAAGTGGGATCTTATTGCTCTGTTTACCCTTTAATATATTACTTTGACTACTTTTCTATAGCAGTAGCAACGTAATACCTATACAGCTTACCTCACAGATTTTCTTATAAGGTAATAAGTGGAGATACAGCATGCAGTATAAATGAAGCTATAGCTCAAAGGTTCTCAACCTGTAGGCTGTGACCCATTTTGGGGGTCAAACAACTCTTTCACAGGGGTCGCCCGATTCATAACAGTAGCAAAATTACAGTTCTGAGGTAGAGACAAAAATGATTTTATGGTTGGGGGGGGTCACCATGACATGAGGAACTGTATGAAAGGGTGGTGGCATTAGGAAGGTGCAGAACCACTGCTATAGATCCTCTGACTTTTGCCACCCATTTGTCCCTTTCCTTCATGTAAACCATCATCTATGGGCAAACCCCAGACACCAGAGTGTGCAACAGAAAGCAGAGTCATAATACAGCGCAAAAGAAGAAGGCAGGTCCCAATCAATGGGCTCAGTCATAGGATTAAGCAAGATGACCTCCAAAGGTCTTTGCAACTTTGAGATTCAGTGATGGGTGAATCCATCTGAACGTGGAGCATGTGCTTCGAAACACAATAATTACAGTAAGGTTTTCTCTTTTAGCTGATTTCTGTTAACTAAAAAAATGTTATGTGAGGCGCTGGTGATGCTGTAGTTCTGATAAGTAGGATAAAAGCCTGGCCCTGATAATATCAAAATATATATTTTTAAATCACTTTAGAAGACATGTATTTGTAATCATCAGCTAATCTGTCCCAGGACCTTTATCTACCTACAAAGATTACTGCCATGATGACTGCTGCCTTGCTTGCAGGGCTTTAGTATAATCCACGCACACAGAAACCATGTGGCAGCATCAGTACGTGTGGTAACAAATATGATGAGGTTGCAAAGGTAAGTTTTGTGCTTGAAGAAAATTGTGCTTGTTGATAATAATCCTTATCCATTTACCTAAACCACATCTGCCAGCTGCTGTCAGCCATTTGGCCTAACTTATTACTAGTGAGATACAGCAAGTAAGGGACTCAGCCCATCACATCCAGATTTTATAGTGTTTCAACACAGCCGAATTGTTTAAAGCACTTTCCATAAAGCAAAAATGGAAGAAAATGATGAGAAATCTGTTTAAAATACTTAGTACTGGAATACTTAAAATATGTCCATTATTGAATATAATTCTTTCAACACGTTGGCTTACCAGTGTAATAACCTCAAACTCCATAGCCAGGCTTTTATTTATTTATTTATCTTCTTCATCTTTCTGTAGATCCTACCATCATTGACTACCACGGTCACTTTTTATGGCTGTCTAACCAATTAGCTGAATTATTTTAAAGGGTCCCTGTGTTGGTTAGCTGACCGTCTAGTGAGCCATGTTTCAAACTTTTACTTTGGGACTTCTGTCTTGAGAGGTGAGACTCCAAACCCAGAGTCACCCCAACAGTGCACTCTGGGAGAAGGGGAACTCTATCCAGGTCCAGGAAGAGAACCTGGTAGCAAAGCATTCAGGCTACAGCCAGGTCTGGCTTGCTATTGAACCATTTGGACTTTTCACGTGTAGTTCTGTGAATGTATTTGTGTGCCAGTCTGTGGTTTTCTTATGTGTACATCATTGGTATTCTCCTGAATGAAAACTCAGAGCTTGCTCAAGTTGAACTTTGCCAGGTGGTTAGGTTTGTTTGTGTGATAAACTGTCAGTCCAACAGTGATAACAACGGCCTAACCTTTCTTGGAAACTTAGTTTCTGCCAAGTTTGATGGTGACTGTTCTCATTATTATCCCTACTTTATAGATGGAAAACGGAAGCAAAGAGAAGTTAAGCAACTTGCCCAAAGTTTTATCTCTAGCAAGTTAACAGAGCCAGGATTTACACTCAGACAATCTGACTACAGAGTTCACACTTTATGTCTTCCTCCCAACTAGCTCATCTCTTGTAGAAACTGTGACGGAAGCATCTGTGGTAGAGCTCAAATTCCTCTTTTCACCTCTGTCACCTCTGAATAAAAAGTGAAAGCATGTCCTAGTTACCAGTCATGCCATCTGGAGTCTCTAATGTTCCTCCTTTGTCCTCTCTCCTTGAGGTCAAGGAGCATAAATAAACATCACTGTAATGAGAGATTTGGGAGAACAAACTCTGTCTCATTGCAAGATCATTTGTTTTCAAGTTAATGACAACCTGCTGAAGCTAAGTTTATGCAAAGTGGGGAGGTTTATGGGCTAAACCAGGATTATCTCATTAAGCCCAAGAGCAAGAGTACAGCTAGGCCTCAGAAGGGATTGAAAGCAGGAGTTAGAAAATCAGCAGTCACAATTGTGCCCTTTGCAGATGTCCATGTTAGATGGGGAAGAGAGGGAAGGGAGAAGTTAATTTATATAAAGAAATCAGGTTATAAAAAGTGCTCCACCCCTCCCCCACCACAGAATAGGTATTTTCAGAAAATGAGGATTTGGCCAGATACGCTTCTAAAAGCACTTTTCCTGCACTTTCTTTTGAATGGGAATTCAAATTTCAACTCAGTTTCAATCGAATGGGAATGCATGTGCCCGATACCTTTGCATGAATGTAAAGTACTAAAAACAGCCCTTTCAGCTGTGCTTTGCCATCTGTCCCTCCAAAAGTCCTGATCCCTTGTATTTTGTTTTTTTCACACTTAGTCACTCTCAAGTTACCGTATATACTTGAGTAGAAGGCGACCTGAATATCAGCCGAGGCACCTAATTTTACCATAAAAAATGTGCTGAAAAACTCGGCTTGTACATGAGTATAAAAACGGTACGTCTTTGGAACCCTTGGTATCCTTCTGGCCCATTGGAATATAGACCCTTGTTTTCACTTCCACTTTTCTTCCCAGGACTTTGACCTAAGCAGTCAAGGGCTTGCCCTTTATTTTCCCAATAAGCAGCTACTAACTTTTCATTTTTCCAAGGGATCTCCCCTCATTGTCTACAAAACCAAGTCCAAATTATTGATCTTGAGAGCTTTCTAAAATTGTGTCCATCCTACCAACCGCAATCATTCCCAGCCAATGCTTTCACTGTAGACGGGCCATTTTCCACACTTACCTAGAACACCAAAAGCTGAATCACTATTGCAAGCTTTTTCTAGTACAGACCCTCTTGCTTAAAACCTCATATCTTTCCTCCTGCCAAACTTTAGACATTTCAGTGTCTAACTTAACTCTTCCCCTCTACAAACTCCTCTGTGAGCTCTGCAATATGAAGAGTGGACAACTGCCCCAATTTTCCCAGAGTTTCTTAGGACATGTAATTTTCGGTACTGAAACCCAAATATCGCCAGCCAAAATGCAATAGCTGGACGCCTTCCCAACACTCAATGGTTTCCCTTCATTGCACCACTGTTTTAGAAGAAAAGAGCCAGGAGAGCACCGATAGCCACTACTAACACACTTAGGAGATTGTTTATTTCTGGTAAGAGTCATGCTTCTGGGGAGCAAGGACCCTTTTGATTCCAACTTCATACAGACTATAGTACTGGACTGTATCCTATGTGTTATTGCCTACTGAATGAACAAGATGGTTGAGTTGTATGCGGGCACCATATCTAAACTCCTTCCTCTGTGTTAATGTCTTTGTCTTTATTTTCTTCCAGCCCAGATGACTTACTCAATGCCTTGAATGAGGGTATCAGCCGTGCTGATGTCATCATCACATCAGGGGGTGTGTCCATGGGGGAAAAGGTATGGAACAATGGGGCCCAGGAAAATCGAGTCCACTAGAATCAAAGGTCTGGCCAACATCTATTATTCATAGGCAGGCTCCCCGAACACGGAAACCTGTGGGACCTCAACATTTATGGGGTCCGCTGAAAGGGATACAGTGTGGGCAGGTCACAGGGCTTCCGTTAGAAGTAGCACAGAGAACCCCACAACTTGCTGAGTGGTTTTTGAAGTTCACCTGAAGATTTCTGCTTTGTTAATAACTTAGATTTACTACATTAGATTTCCCTTAGGCATGACATTTACCTCCATGGGGAAGTACCAACACCCTTTCTTCTTCTTAAATTTAAACATGACCTGCTAGCGCAACCAACTGCCCTACCACATAATGTATACCCAGCCAAGAACTTTTAGGTTCCCCTTCTCCAAGGGCATAAACAGAAGAAGTAAACATTGTCTTTGCCTCTTTTGACATAAAGAAGAAAAATAATTAATGAAAATAAAATAATACATTCACAAATATATAGAATTTTAGAGGTCTATGCATATTTATATATGGTATATGCTTAGCCTTATAAAAATCCCAATTTGAAATGTCAGAATCATTAGGTTTATATATTTTAACGAAATGTGTTGGTTCATGATTATTGGATTGTTTGATAATAAGTAATATAGGCAAATATTCTTTACCTATAATAAGTGACATTATATTTTGGCTTGAATATTTCAAATCATGAAATATTTTGCTAACAACCAATAACCCTTTTTCACATTTTCTTCCATCCCAACTAAGCTGAATAATTCCAACCATATTGTCATAATAATAATTCTTATCATAATGTCATAATAATAATAATACTTCCTTTTTAATAAGAGCTTGATTTATTTTAAGCCTGACCATATGTATGTTTATAATTGTTCTTGGTCCCTGCCTTCCCTAGCTGTCAAACTGCCTAACTATATAACCTGACTCTGGACAGTGAACTCTGTTTGGCTCAGAATGCAAGTATCAGAATCCAATAACCTGAGCAAAGAATTTTAGAATATTTGAAAATGGGACTGCACTTGCTAAAAAACATGGAAGGAAAAAAGGAATTCTCATTCCAAGACTCCCTCAAATTACCTCCAAGGGTGAAGATGTCTAGTTGTGGTTGGGCATTGTCCTTACAGAAGACAGATTGCTAAATCAGTCTTCCCCAAAACCTCCAAAAAGCCCTCAACGCCAAGTGGAGCAGATTGCCAAGACCGCTCCGGAGATCACAAGAATAATAAGAAATCATTTGCAACATGTCTGTTTTCATTAGCATCAAACAGACTGTGGTGCTCTTAATATCACAAGCGTGAAAACCTGAAGTTAGGGGTGTTTAAGTGTTCAATGTGCTATTTCCAGGGAGTGTTTCATGCATAATTGATGTTGGTTCCCAGTGATCTTAATTGTGGGGCAGGATCTCTTTGGCAAGCCTATCGGTGCTCTTTTCCAGTATGTCTGGAGAGGGAACAAGCATGTAGCAAATAGACGTGGCAATTGTGGCTCAGCTATGTTCACACTGACTACATCTCAACCTTAACCTTTATTAATCTTGATAGTAAGAATGCCACATATCCTATAAATTTGCTCACAAGTAAATAGAGCTAATAGGAAAGAATATTGTTTTTATTTACTCTGTATGTCTTCAGGTTCTTACAGTAAACTTTTAATTTGCTAGAAAAGAGATTTTGGGGACTGGGTAGAGAAAGAGTTAGTAATGATCCTTCCTGCCTCCTTTGGTCAGCATGAGATGGGAAAGGGACCGGGAAGAACAAGATGATGGTCAAATGTAGCAAACGCTTGTCAACATGTGAGTTCTAGCCCCAGAAAGAACTTTGGAGTACCTCCGCAGCAGAAAGAAAAGCATAAAAGATGGACCACCTTCAGTGACTGAAAACCAGTCAGCAAAAAGACAGATCAAGGCAAGAGCCAGAAACATTGTGTAGCAAACATAAATCTTAGGTGCAGAAACTCTGGTATGTAAGAAATGTACTTACTTGATTCAACTCAAATCAACTGAAACTTCCCTCTGAGCCCTTATGCTAAAGGACTGGTGGGAAATATTATTTAATTCACTCCTGGACTTCACTGCTCCAAGAATTTTGCTGCTAAGGCAGAGGAGGGCCTTAAGCAGCAGTGCCAAAGCATCAGGGAGACTCGGCTGGTCAGAAATGCACACTAGAAATGCCATATCCACATAGAACCTGGAGATCTCCAGCCTTGGCTCTCTAGGTCCATGCTAGCAATGCTGGAGGCCTCAGGGTGGAACACAACCTACTTGGGAATAATTCACAGCCATCCCCTCTGACTGGCCACCTCGCCTAAGCTGAGTAGGGGAAAGGGTCCCTGTTATTGTTGCCTAAGGAGAAGTGTCTCTTCCGAGCAGCTCCCCTCAGAAACTCTCCCCACCTCTAACTTACCCTGCCCCACATAATCTTTTCAGAGGTTTCATTTTTACAAAATAATGAAAATGTTACAGTTAATAGTATCTGTTTCAGAAAAAGAAGCAATATCTGTTCTCTGCCCCCAAAACTGAAGATTTTATTTTTTACTATAAAATTTCTACAGAATACAGGATTGTTTATTTTTTAAAAAAAGAAAATGTGTAGATAACCCAGAAGGATACAGAACTAGACACCACTAATACTTTTTTCTCCTTTCAAAATAGCTCAATTTTTCCCGACAAGTCTATCTCACTCCCCAACACCAAACAAGCAAGCAAAAACAACAACAAAGCCAATGTGTTTGAGTCATGGTAATCCTGTACAGGGTTTAGTTTCTGAGGCTGTACATTTTGAGGAGAGCAAAGAACTTCCCTTTTCACCACCAACCTGACTGTCAGCAGTTCAAGGCTTACCCAGCAGGGCCCCTAGGGCTCCTTACCACCCCCAGCCACAACAAACCCGGACAAAGTCACCACAGAGATCATTAGTACTGATCACAAAAAAGGCTGGTCTCCTTAGGTATGCGTGATTATTTAGCAGCAAGAGTGCTAGTTAACCAGATAGGAGCTATAAAAGGGTCATAGAAAGAGTTCCTCATCCTTTAATTCCACGTTTCCATGAACTCATAACAGGACTTTTTGAGTTTATTTTGGAAATCTAGAGCAGCAACAGAACATAAAAACAATCAAAAATACTCCAAACAAGTAACCCAAGTAAACTGTCCCTTCTCAGTTCCTTCAGTCCTGTGTGTTTCTTGTCTGCTTGGTCTTGGCTTAGCAGTTCAGCACTTTAGGACAGAGAATAGGAGTCCCTGAGACCCTGTAAGTGGACCTCTACAGTCAGAACTGCAATATCAAGACTTCATTTGCCATATTCCTATTCCTCTCATTAACATACAGTAGAGTTGTTCCAGCAGCTACATGATGTGTGATATCTTGACAGATTAAAGGAAAAAGCAGATATCAAAACACGAATCACTTCTTTTTTTAAAAATAATTTTGTTGGGGGCTCGTACAACTCCTATCACAATCCATACATCAATTGAATCAGGCATGTTTGTATATATTTTGCCCTCATTCTTTTCTAGACATTTGGTTTCTATTGAGCCCTTGGTATCAACTCTTTCACACACACCCCACCACCCACTGCTCTCTATGAAGCCAGACATTAAAGAGATTTTCAAAACTATAGAACAAGGCATTTAAATGCTATTTATTTTAATGTGAAATTACTTCATCATTGCTAGTTTCAAATGAAACAGCAAATGAAAAATTTTTAATGTCTTCATTTTATATTCTAATATAGTAAATATCAGTAGGGACAGATAATGGTTTTGAGCCTTAATAGTTTTTAACATAAGAGAATATAAAGGGTTCCAGAGACCAAACATTTTGAGAACTTAACTTCAAGAAGGAGAACTTTTTCTTTAAGAAAAGAATACACCAAAAAAAAGAAAAGAATACACCTAGATTTATTTGTCTTTATTGTTGCTAATATAATTGCAACTGTGATGGCAGTGGGTTGTATTAATTACAACATTTAAGAAAATGTATAATTTCTATTTCACAGAAAAAACTGGGAGCATAGATAATTGAAAAATCCTAAGTAAGCATTTGTGCAGACAGTCAAACTCATAAACACCTCAAATCCCATTTTCTGCTGCCACCCTTTCCTAACATGGTAAAGATGAACAAACATGTTCATTACTATGATCCAAAGATATAAGTCTATTAATTTAAAATTGCACTTAGTAAACTGTTCCTGCAGTATTCTCTTGTACTTAGTATTTGATGATGATTCATTAATTAGCTCAGTCTAACATCAGTTCAAATGTTTTAGTTCCTTAAAGATCTTGGAAATTGTTCTCAATCTTACATACTACAAAACATTACTGTTTACCTATAAAGTTTTATCAGAATAATGAGTCAATTTGGTTGAACCCAATTTTACAGTGTTACACATTATTTAGGAGTAGTGTTCCCTTAGGAGCCCTGATGGCCTACTCGGTTACGCCTTGGGCTGCTAACCACAAGGTCAGCAATTTTCAATCACCCACTGTTCCTAGGAAGAAAGACGAGGCTTTCTACTCTAGTAAAGATTTAGAGTCTCAGAACCCACAGTTTCTACTCTGTCCTAAAGTGTCACAAAGAGTTGTAAAAAACTAGGTGTCAGTGAGTTTGAGTTTGGGGGGTTTAGTGTTAACTTATTTGATCCATAAGTCTATGTAAGTTGCAGGGGGGGGGGGACGACAAAGCTAAGTGAAACAAAATGTATCCTTGTAATTTCCATAACACTCATAAATAAGAGTCCCCAGGTGGTTACATTTAAC